TTTTTTTTTTTGAGATGGAGTTTCACTCATGTTACCCAGGCTGGAGTGCAATGGCGCGATCTCGGCTCACCGCAACCTCCGCCCCCCGGGTTCAGGCAATTCTCCTGCCTCAGCCTCCTGAGCAGCTGGGATTACAGGCACGCACCACCATGCCCAGCTAATTTTTTGTATTTTTAGTAGAGACGGGGTTTCACCATGTTGACCAGGATGGTCTCGATCTCTTGACCTCGTGATCCACCCGCCTCGGCCTCCCAAAGTGCTGGGATTACAGGCTTGAGCCACCGCGCCCGGCCTTTTAGATTTTTTAAATAATGGTTCCAGAGAAAGAAAACAACTGATTTTCAAAATTAAGCTATTGAAGACAGGCAGCATGACAGATCAAAGTATGACAGAATGTCAGGTGCTTGGAGGTGGACCCAGAAGCAAGGCCTAGGAAGAAACCCAAGTGACAAGGGCACATTATTAGAAAAGACAGTGCAGCAACAACCAAAGGTCCAGACAGGTGAGCAGTGAGCATCAGGATACTCAGCAAGGTGAAAGCAGACAGAATATGAAAACAGGGAAATCTGGTAAAAAAGGCAATTAGTGGGTGAGCATCGATAACATCAGGTTTGGGAAGCAAAGACCCAACCACAGGTATGGGTCTAGGCAGAGCCTAAGTTCCCTAGAGGCTTAGCTAAAAGAAAACATGTTCCTACCTTTGGAGGAATTGGAGTGCCAACCACTGTACCCATAAAAGGACCTCACAGGGAATAAATGGAGTAAGGACAAGTTTCTGGCACAGAAATACAAGGGCCAGTCTTAATCACAAGGAGCTAGGCAACAGCAATCTTACAAAAACATGACCACACAAAGTCAGAATGATATTAGCAAGCATGCTGAACTGCTGAGCTAGCAGCCTGAGGTTCCCTAAATTCTCTCTAACTCAAGTCTGTCTTGAGTTAGAGAGAATTTTGGCTCAAAGCCTCAATCAGGGCTGACCTGACCCAGCTCTGTCCACTGGAAAGCAATGTAGACATAGAAGCCAACAGGCCCTCACAGTCCCCGCAACATCAGAGAATATGAGGCATGCCTCTAAGTTCAAAAGAGGTGCTCAAAAAATACCAGTGAAGGCCAGGCGCAGTAGCTCACGCCTTTAATCCCAGCACTTTGGGAGGCTGAGGTGGGCTGATCACAAGGTC